TGTTGACATCAGAATGCAAATGAGTCCCGTTCAAACAATTCAAATTTTCCCACCGTCTTTGAGATCTTAAGTCTTGGCGTTCTTCCACTCGCTTTCCCGATCTCTTTCCACGATATCTGAAAATATCGTTATCCTGTAGGACAGCTATAAGTGTCGTATCAATGATCATGTGTCTTCGAAACCTTTTAAGCTGGTCCCTAGAGTATTGTAGTGAAACTTGAATCTGGCGATTATGTAAATTTCCGTTGGAGACATGGTTTCTTGGGTATGACAGTGGGAGTTCATTTGTGAGAATTGCCATCGATTTTGTCCTCTTTGATACAGTCATTTCCTTTTTCTTCCTTGGTCTGCTCATTTTCAATGTTCCCAGTTCCTTTGTTGACTTTCGTTTCATTCACAGAGTGACCAACACCCCTCACACTTTTCATTCATTGTGAACACATTCTGTTTTGAGGCACAAACAGAGAAACATTGACATTGTGCAATTTTTGGATGGGTCTGGTAATCCGTGTGAACAGCCAAAAGCAGCTGCACTCACTGAAGAGGAACTTGAAGATTATTTCAAATGGCTTGGGGTCCTCTTGGAGTGAATCAATGGATCACTGGTAAGGGATCATCCAGATAAATTCCTACCCTGCAATATGTTTATTCTGTTGGACTTGAACTTACACTTAATAATTTTTTTCTTTCCTTGAAAGGAAAATGGTGTCATGTTGACTGCCCTCAAGTAAGGCAGAAGTACTTCACTTACATGCTCCATTGCCTAGGAAACTCTATGCTGGACAGTGTGTGTGTGATGTTCCCCACCTCTGTCAGCTGATTTTCAAAAGAAAGGCATGGTGCTTCTCATACAAAATTTTCAATGAGGAAACTTTTGAGTGAGTTCTAGAGGAGCCAAACATACTGCAATTTTGTCCATTGGCATTGTTCCGAAACAGCGATGAGGTGCCTGACATGTCAGAGATGCCAGCTTTGCACATTCTGGGCAACCTTGGAAGTACAGACAAGAGAGTGACTGCCCAAGGTCAATTGAAAATTCTTACGCTCACACTCTTACATATCAACATGGCTTCCAAAGATTAAAGTAACAAACCAACAGATAACCTTTATTTTTAAAGTGGATATGACACTTTTTTTCTTTTTGGGGATTTTTCTGGTTGATAGTGGTATTCAAAATTAGAATTAATTGACCTTAGCGCCTGACGAGTTCTCCTTGTCCACTTTTTTGGGCATTCAAAGTACGATTTGGTGGCCAAAAAATGTCCCCATAAAGTGCGTGGCCAAAATGATCACATTACATAGCTGTGATGTAGAAAACTGTGAAGACACATTGGTAACTAGAATAGAGCAAGAAGAAATCTAGAGGAAAGGACGGTTGTATTGTGTGGCTGGAGTGCCAACTGATGGTAGCTACAAGATTAATACACATGTACTAAGTATTTTTATACGCTACATCAAAAGGATGTAGCTGTATGGCCAAAATGGACATGTTTTTACTCTTCAAAGTCATCTGCCTTATGCTCCGTTCTGGTTTCAAAGACGGCTGTTACTAACACATGCCACTAGCCAAATCAGGGGAAGATAACCAATGGTTCAGTCAAAAAGAATACCGATTAAGGGGCCTGTTCCCACACTGAACACAATTGTTCAACATTCTTTTCAGCTGGCATTCCACAAGTAAAGAACGGCAAGCTCCTTATTGTTGTTTATTTCACACTAGAGAAGTACTTATATTCCTTGTCTTTCCACATGACTACATTTGTGCTTTTCTTATTGTATGAAAATCAAATCACTTGTTGTCTCTATCGTATTTTAATAACAGAACTACATCATTTTTAATAAAGTTCAAGCCCTTTCCTGAACTGACCAATATCCTGTTGCGTGAACAGTGCAAAACCTCTGGCGGATGCTGAAATAAACACAAGCTCAAAGCAACTGTGTATTATCTTTTCCTAGGTTTCTGAAAATCCATCCCACAAACCATCAATTCTCCCTGCTCATAAGAAACTAAAAGAAGCAACAGCAGCAATGTCATTGTGATAACAGCACTGCAATAAGGTAAATAAAGAAATACCAGTTTTATTGAATTAGATGGTAGTAAGATCAAGTGCTGTGTGAAAGTCGATGCATATGAATTATTCATTTACTCATTAGGCGAGATGGGTCATGTAGCAATGCTGCACTTAAACTAAAGAAGTTTTTCTTTACTAAAATCACTTTTTGAGATTAACTTGAGTCAGATTACCATAACCTCGCTCTCTGTTTGACCAGCTCGATGACAATAGCCTCTGCCTTTGCACTCTCTGAGGAAAGGAGCAACTTACAGTGAAAGTGCCCTATGACTTCTTGGCAAAAAATCATCGTGCCTTGTTATGCAGCTGATTTTTTTGTCAAAAGTTGGCTTTTGGTTTGCTAAGAGAATTGTTCTACAGCAACGAAACTTTAGAGCACTGAGCAAGGGGAACCTTCGCCACACTCAGTGCAAAAGAATGAAATGTTATGGCAATAGAAATGAACACTCCCATTCTTAACATGATTTTGCCATAGAGAACAAAACACAAATGCAACAAACTAATTCAGTTACGGGAGTTTTTTGTTCTAGTCTTGACCTGAAAACCGCAGGTGAGAAACCATCTTAGTCTTCATTGAAATCTTCGTTTGATGCCTGCGGTTCTCATTCATAGGGCTGAATCATGCTCACAACTTCCATTTCTTCTTTGCTACTTGAGTATGATGTATCACAACTCTTGGTAGAACTTGATGAAGGTAAGTATACATTGTTATTGGTCATAAATTCAAGAGCATTTCCACGATGATTGATACAAAATTACAAGAGATACAAAATTACAAGAGATGTGAGAGATTTGTAAGTGTCAACTGAGAGTTTTCACAGTTTTCTACGTCATCACCTGCTACTTCGTTACCAGTCCATGGGACACTTTTAAGACAAAATAAGAGCACTTTAGGGCCCAAAAAAACGTGTTTTGGGCTTTTTGAAATTTTTCTTCAATCAGAATTGGTTTGTACATATGATAAACTAAATATTTACAAGAAATAGTCTCTTGTCATAGGCACTTTAACAGGGTGACACCAATTACTCTGAAATGAATTCTCCCTTGTGGTCCTTTAAAAACAAAATTGATAATAAACTACAAAAATGATGATAACAAGCCTATTTACAATAAAAGACCTTAAAAATTCTTGTATTCTCCCTCCCTAGTGGCCCTCTAAAAGCAAAATTGATAATAATAAAATTACAACAATCATGATAAAAAGCCTATTTACAAATAGTGACTATCATAAAAGTTCTTAAAAATTCTAGAGATTGAAAAAAAGAAAACATTGGCAAAAAAGGAATCCAATCTACAATGATATTTAAAAAGGACAGATTTTTAAAAATCAGAATAACTTTTTAACTTTAAAATTGTCCACTGTATAGTTTGAGGCAGTGCTATTAGTCAGTGTTGTCTTCATTAAGCTAATAGAGGTGGTTGGTTGTAAGTTAAGAGCATTTAGTTCTGTAATAGTAGAATAAAAGAATGTTCTCCTTATGCTTCAGTTCTGCGTTTGGGTAAGCGGTATAATGTAGAGTACTTGCGTTCAAACTGGAGTCCAAGGTTGCAATTAAGTATTTTGGTGCTTTTCCATAAATAACTTTCTTTAAAAGGTGGAATTTATTGAGCTTGAAAAGTTGATCAACCGGTAGCCACTTAAGCTTTTTAAAATTATCATAAGATCGTGTATCCCGAGGACTATCCAAAATAAATTGTGCACAGCATTTTTGAAGTTTAAACAGTTTGTCCAAGTTTGTTTGGCTACAGTTGCTCCAAACAGTTCAGCAATAAGTAAAGAGCGGTTTGATACTTGCGTTGTAGAGAAGCAATTGATATTTGGTTGATATATATTTCCAAGCTCTTGCTAAAATTGCAATTCCTTGAAGTAGTTTTCGACACAGTGTGTCGATGTGTTCATTCCAGATGAGATGACTATCAATATACACTCCTAAGACACGTTCTGACTCAACCTTAGTGAGTTGCATGCCATCAACTGAAAGTTCAAGAGATTGTTTTGCTGAATTTGCAATTTTTTGTCTGGTCTAGGTTATACTGTACTTTGTCTTTGCTGGATGCATTTTCATTTTATTTTCCTTTGCCCACATCGATACTGCATCAATGTCAGGTTTAATTTTCTCCTCGACTTCAGCTAAAGAAGGTGCAGATGCATAAAGGGTCGAGTCATCGGCATAAATGCCAATATTATACTCCCTTGCAGTACACCATACTGAATACTGAGTGGTTCAGATAGTTTACCATTAACACATACCTTTTGATACCTTCTGCTGAGGTAACTTTGGAACCATTTGAGGGAGTTAGTGTTCAAGCCATATACTTGAAGTTTCTTGAGCAGTGGTTTATGGTCTACAATGTCAAAAGCTTTGTGCAGATCAATCATAACACCAGTAAAGAGGCCTTTATCCATTGTTGCTAGCCATTCATCTGCAATTTTGATAAGGATGGTTTTGCAGGAGTGGTTAGCTCTAAAACCTGATTGGCATTTGTATAGTAAATTGTGATTAGTGTGAAAATCAATGAAGTATTTGCAGATATGTTTCTCAAGAATCTTGGAATTGACAGGGAGGACTGATTTAGGTCTTTAATTGACAAGACTTGTTTTACTTCCCTGTTTGTAAATCGGAGTGACATGAGCCAGTTTGAGTTGAGCTGGGCAGATGTTGTTAATTATGCTGCAGGTAATCACTTTTGCTAGACTTGGAGTAACAGCGGGAGCGATTAATTTTAACAAAGAAGAGCTGATTCCATCAAGTCCAGTTGCAACATTTGATGGGAGTGATTTGATGATTTCTGAAACTTCCTGTTCTGAAACTGTGGGTATACTGAAATCAGCAAAGTTGCCAGCTTTTTTGCTATTTATGAAATCCATCAGATTAAGGAAAGAACAGTGATTGTTGAGCATCTTCTTTTAATAATTAATGGAAGATG